AGTAATGGGTGGTTGGGGTCGGGGAGGAGGCTTTCAACCCTACCAGATAGTAAAACCTAATAAGCTGCCATAATTAAAACAGCTGTGCACAAAGAGGACAAACAGACCCCTGGAACAGAAATAGACTCAAGTGAATTTGGAAAGCTGGTATATGGCTAGAACGGCATCTCAAATCAGTGGAGAAAGGAGAGACTTTTTAACCAAATGATGGTGGGACAACTGGATCACAGTTTGGAAAAAGATCAAACTGAAGCCTTACCTCTAAAAACGAGGATAAGTTCCAAATGGATCAGAGATACAAATGTAAGAAATAAGATCACCCAGGTACTAAGTAAACCATGGGAGAATTCCCTTATAAACCTAGAATTGGGGTGGGGGAGGGGCGGAACCTCAAAATCAAGAAGAAATAACAAGATGTTGGAATTTGATGAAAAGTTTTAAACTTTTGCATGGCAAAAGAATAAAGCAGTCAAAAGATAACTGACAAATTGGGAATGGGGAAATCTTTGCAACCATATCACAAAGGGCTGAAAACCTTAACATATGTAAAGAGTTCCTGGAAATCAAGAAGACCAACAATCTGTTAGGGGAAAAAAAGCAAAAGAGAGAAGAGGACACAGAAGAAATGAACGTTACACTTCGGAAAAGATGCTCAACCTCAGTAAGAGTGAGTGATGCCAAAATACCGTTTCACACCTCAGGCTGACAGACATCCAGATGGTTGGCAGCATCCTTGGTGTGGCTGTGTGGAAATGGGCATTTTTACCCATTGCTGGTGACACTGTGGAATGAAGAGTGAGGTGATATGTAGCAAAATGATCTACGCGTCTCTTAAATCCAGCAACTCACTCCTAAGAACTTATCCTAAAGATATTAGCAAAAATGTGAAATGGCATGCAAAGGTTAGTTTGTACTGGCGGAGGATTGCAAACACCTTATTGTCAGTCTATTATTAAGTTGTCGAACAACTCCACGTCCATGGGAGAGCAGCTGAATAAACAGTGGCGTTGCCACCCAGTGGAATACTAATTGTAAAAAGTAACGTGGAACACCTCAATTCTGATACGAGGTCATCAGAGTTTCTTATAAAGTTAAAAAGTGAAGACAAGTACGTATAGAACGTCAGTTTTTGTGTGAGCAGGAGGGACATACCCCCCCATAAACCTTTATATTTGCAGAAAGAAACCCCAGAAGGAAAACCAAAAACCAGTGGGAGGTGGGGGGCACATTTGGGGTGGGGGGCGGACAGGGACAAGTGGAAACACGCTCACTCTGAACATACCTTTTCACGTGGCAATCCCTAAATATCAAAAATCAAACTGAGATGAACGTACCCAACTGTGTGTCAATGCCGTAACTACATAGAAAGTTTTCTCAGGCAACTCGGTATTTTATAGCACATCCATAGTAAGATAAAAGGAAAACCATAGCTGCAGAGAAACGTTAAACGTCCATCGGTGGTTTTATCCTGGGTCACTGATGTTGGTATATCATTCGGAAGCTGTTTCGCATCTAGTGGATTATGCAAATGAGTACGTTAATGGTTTTAGGAACCCAAATTTTTAAGGAAAGAGAAAAGAGTAGAAACGCTGATGCCGATTGTGAGGCAGAAATATCGGTATGGACTTCTGATTATTTTTTTCCTTTCAAAAGCGTGTGTTTCCTCTGTCTCCTGGAACAGCCTGGAAACCATGACAACCCAGTGCCGTGAGTCCCTCTGACACCCAGATTGGACACCACTGGAAAAGAGCTCGTTGGAGAGACGGCCGGTTCCAGGACTGGGCAGAAAATGCGAAAGATGGGGGTGGGAAGTCTTGTGTCAGAAAGCAATTTTAAAATAACTTTCGTCCTTTGTCGAAAAGAACACAAGCGATAGTGTGAAAGGGTCCCTCTTGTGACAAAGATGTGACAACTTGAGCACCACCAACAAAAAAAAGACGGTACTTGATTGACACACATTTATAACAGACATAAATAAAGGAGGACCCATGAGTTCAAAATGATAATAGAACAAAGGGATACAAAATAATGAACCTCATTGTCACCATTGGAGGTAACTAGGACACCAACTCCTTGGTCTGAAAATTGGCCATTAAAGAGAAGGAGTGACACATTTATCCCACCTGGTAGGAACTGCATTTCAGGATAACCAAGTAGCCCTCAGTGAGGAAGGAAATTTCTTTAGGGAAGAATTCGAGCTAATCAATGTGGAAAAACAGAACCATAAAAGAAAGGTATGAGAGAAGAGGCTGACGGGCATTTTAAGCCGTGCTGTGTTTAGGCTGCTACAACGAAGTACCGTAGGTTGGGCGACTCAACAGAAATTCTACTTCGTCACCGTCCTGCAGACTGGAAATCCAAAATCAACATGTCGGCAGGGTTGGTCTCTCCCGAGGCCTCGCTCCTAGTGTGTGGATGGCCGTCTCCCCTGTCTGCGTGTCTGTGTCCGGACCTCCTGCTATAGAGACACCTGTCAGATTGGATTAGTGACCACCTTAATGACCACCTTTAATATAATCGCCTCTTTAAAGATCTTGTCTCCACATAGTCACATTCTGGGAGTTAGGACCTCAACATGTGGAGTCGGGTTGGGGGGACACAATTCAGCCTCTAACAGACCCCTTACTAAGAGTGGTGACCAGGCACGTAGGCGCCTCCTGAAATAATACAATACGAAAAAAAAAAAATGTCCAATCGCAGAGCTCTGCACTGAACTCAACTCTGCTTCCTATAGCACCAAGGAGAGGGTGCGGCCCGTCACGGAACAGAGGACATCGCCCTGCCGGCGTCGGAGTGGCCAGGGAAAGGACTCAGCAAGCACAGCGCGCACCCTGCTTTTCCCACTCTCTCAGGCCCGCCTCCAGGGCCCCGGCGAACATTCAGGGACCTGAACCCTCTCACGTTTCAACACAGTCAGACAATAGACCAGCCGTGGCACGGGGACAGCTGCGCATCGCACGCCACCTGATAGTAGGTCGCGTCAGCACCTGTGAAGCCTGCTTGGAAAACCAGTCTGAGCCGTGGGCCAGACTCTAGACACCCCACCCCCTGAAAGGAAACGGAGAGACAGGAATGGTGAATAGCGACACGGAAAATCGGCAAGCAGCAAAAGCCGCACTGAAATAAGGAGAACCGAGGCTCGTTTGATGACAAGTGCAAGAAAACAAAAGTGACGGCGAGGCGAGGGGACCCGTGGGCGAGGGGCGCCAGAGGCACTGCGGCCGCGCAAACAGCCGGGGAAAGAAGGTTTTGAGAGGCCCATGGAAATTTGAATGTGGATCTGATGACATGAAGATGTGATCACAGAAGTGTTGCGACGTTGCAAGTCTTCATTTTTTAAAAATATAAGCTGCAGTATTTGTGGATTTAAAAAAACAAAAACAAAAACGTGAAACATATTGACCCTGAATCTAGGTACGTCTATAGTTAACTTTCAGGGTACATAGCAAAGGAGGGATAGAAGGCGACAAGGCGCATAGGGCCATAAGGAAGGAAGCACCAGGGCAACTTCGGACGAGACGCGGGACGGGGTGCCTGCCCCAGACTTCAGTGGGTCAGGGGCAGCCGGCGGGAAGGACGGACGGCCTGCCTGGCTGAGGAGAGACCTGGTTTTATTCCTAAACGGCTGGAAGTCAGAGATGTTTTTCAGACATGGGAAATGCAAATGCGGACTGGGCATCAGAGGGTCCCCAGGGGTTCACGGCAGTCATCTGGGTGATCCGCCCATAACGGGGGCCGGGATGGGCTTCCAAACTCACACACGGCAGTCATGACCAGACGTATGGGCACAGACGAAGCCAGTGTGGCCAGAACCACAGTGCTTTGCGCCGGGTATGTGGGGGTCCTCAGACCGTTCCGATTCTGTCCATGTTTGAAATCGGGCATCAAAATACCAAAGACTTCCTTGCTGGCTACTCCGCTGAGTGCAGCATGAGCCTTCCGTCTCCTGCTGAGGACGGTGACTGCGACGTGGGTGCCTCCGGTCACCCCCACGCTTCGGAGCCTGCCCGGGGTTTTGCGGGGTAAACGTTCTTTCGCCTTCCGCTGCCGGCACTGTTTTCGACTTTGAATTCTATCAACTTCCTTTTTCTGCTTAATTTTTTTTTTAAGGCAACGACAGCACCTTGGTAAAGGATGTGATTGTCCCTTGCCGTAGAGGTACCTGTGAAACAGATTCATAGCAATGCTAACAGCCTGGCTTTGATACTGACTGATGGCCGGATACGCCATTGCCTCGGGGGGAAGCTGGGTGAAGGGCGCAGTGGGCCCCCTCTACCACTTTGGCAATGTCCTGTGAGGCTGGAATTAATAAAAAGTTTTTAAAAATACGTGCTTCTTTACATGTTCTTCCACGAACCCCTTAAAATCATCTTTTGTCCCACAGTGCAGGTGACACTTTGGGAGAAATCTCAACCCAGATAAATGGGCCTCCTAACCCTGGGCATTTGATTCCAACTTGATCACAGTAATTGGACCTGCATGCCTCGTCTGGTCCTCCCCACTGCCCCTTGAGCAGAGTGCTTTCTGGAGGGGCTTCCTGCGTCCCCACCTGTCACGCTGCCCACCGGGGGCAGGCCAGACTCTGAACAGACAGTCCTGCCCCCGCTGCCTTAACTACGTGACCCTAGCCAAGCTCTCTGGTCCCTCTGAGAAAGCAGGATGCTCGCAGTGCAAGAAACATTCTTCTGAGACGTTCCGGAAGATCGGTTACCTGCGCAGAGCGCGGAGAGCAATGCTGGGCTGTTCCCAGGGGACATGCAGCCCCCGCGTCGCAGGGTCGGGCAGTTTTCAAGAGAAGCTGGAGTTTTGATGTGGCGTCTCTTGATTTTTGAAAGTGGGCCACTAATTTAAATTTAAAAAGGGTTAAACACTCTAGAGTGAAAACCGAACAGATCGTGGATGGAATGGGGCCCAGGGCTGGGAACCTGTGGCCTCTCTTGGGACTTCACAGCCACCTGTGGAGGCCATTCAGGGACTCCAGGCATTTGTGACTGGGCACTTCCTCTGGGGCAGGCGCCAGCCCAGGGCCATCGAGGGCAGAGAGGTCTGTGGGCGCGGCCTTTGCCCGGGAAGCTGCCAGGCCAGGGGAGGAAGCCCGTTACCTCGTCACGACGAGCCCACCAGCACTGCTTCGACGCAGGTGAGAACGAGGGCAGGGCCCTGCCCACCCGCGCGCAGCCGTCCCGGGCCGGCCACCTCTGTGTCGTTCCCGCCCAGACTTCTCCGAAGGCATTTCAACTGGAATCCAGCAAGTTCCAGAAAAGCCTGTAGGCCTACAGTCTGCCTCAGTTTCTCTCCTGCTCAGTCATTTCGAAATACTCCAGCCCTCACTGTCTAGGTGCCTGGATGAGCCTTCTCATAAAGTCAGCTTGCCCACCTGTGAAAATCACCTGAGGAAATTCGCTCCAGTTCGCCCAGCACCGCCAGCTCCTCCATCGCTCAGCTCTCCAATGTCCCCACTTCAAGGGGCCACCTGAACCACCCACACTGAAACAGTGTCCCTCCGGACGTCATTCTGTCTTCACTGCACTTACTGCTACCCGACTTTTCTGTTTTACGTGTCACATGTTGCTGTCTACCGGCATCCTAAGAGCAGGGACTGAGTCTGCCTCTTGAATGCCCGAGGACAGAGTCTGTTCTATTTGGGGACAGGTGAGGGAAGACGAATGAGGAATTGTGTTCCAACCTTATGGCTCAGAGATGCTGCAACACCCACTCTGCCACTCAGTGGGACTGTGCAGGGAGAAATTAAAATGGCTTCGTCCCTGCCCTCAGAGAGCTCTCTAGCTCTTCACCCGGATTCTAGCAGCTTCCAACAACCTGACTGTCCCTCGATAGTACAAAACTCCATTTCCCTCTGGTTGCCTCCTCTCCCTTGAGTTTCACCCCTTTTAATCTCCATCGAGGTGCGGGGGGAAGGATGGCTTCACGCCTCACACCCTCACACGCTTCTGGGTCACTCACAATGCTCTTGAACTCCTTGGTCTGCATCAGCTCCCGGGGAAAGCCATGGATGAGGAAGCCCAGGCTCTCTGGGCAGGACGGCATGTTGTCATTGATCATATCTAGGATGATACCCTGGGAAAGAAAGGGGTGGGTGGGTGACCTCTGGAGTCACCTTAGCAGGTCTCTTTCTCAGCCTGGACTCCTGGAATTCGGGGAACACCTGCCCCACCCAGCACCTAAGATCCTGCGTCTGCCCCAGTGCCCCGGGGCCTCCGCAAGCACTTTTGAGAAGTGGGCATGGAGATGGTTTACTGGGCAGGCTGGCTGGGTCTCGTTTGCTCGTCACAGCCACCCTACAGGTAGGTAGTGGGGTGACCTTCATTTTGTGGGAGAGGAAACAGGTGCAGAAGGGGCCAATGCTATACGTGCCCAAGGTCACGAAAAGAATAAATATTAACTAATTTTATTGAGTGCTTCTTAAGTGCCAGGAACTCTGCCAAGTGCTTTATACGAATGATGTCATCCAAACCTCACCACACACTTGCTGTGGGTCCAGCTGCTCTCCCATTTTACAGATGAGGACACAGGCTCACGGCAACAAAACGGTGGCTGGTGAGGAGCTGCAGCCTTCCAGTCATATCAACTTCCATGGGGCCTCTCCAGGAAGTTGGTCCCAATGTGCCACCTTCTTCCCTCTGCCCGTGTACTCATGAGCTCTCACCGTGGGCACCAGGAGCCCCTGTAGCATGATATCCTGGATCGCCCAGCCCTGCCGGGTGCTGCTTTGGGCCTCCTGCCACAGCAGCTGGCCCAGCCCCACGAGGCAGAAGCCATACTTGGTTGCCATGTTCTTGCACTGTGTCTCTTTGCTACAGCCTGGGCCGCCCATCATGAAGATGATCAGGGGGACTTGAGGATGTCTGCGGTGCCCGGGGAAGGAGGGAGAGGGGCTGGTGCCTATAGGGGTCAGTGGGCACCGATATGATTGTGTCCACAGCTTAGTGTGTGTCCTCGGGGTGACCCTGGACACGGGTCTGCTGGCATACCCACTTTTGCCCTAGGGTGGCATCTGAGGGTACGTGTCCAGGTATGGCATGGGTTCTGTGGCTGAGGATGGAAGCCTGAGCAGGCCGGGCCCCTGGCCCACAGCATCTCTCTATCATCCCATTTTACAAGTTAGGAAACTCGAGCTCAGACAGGGACAGGGACAGGGACAGGGACAGGGACTGGCCCATGCCCCAGACTCATCGCATACCACTGTCCCCTTCTCTCACTCTGGTCCAGCCCGGCAGCCTCCTGGCCTCTTTTCTGTCCCTTGAACTTGCCAAGCTCATCCCTCCCCACCCCGACTGTTCCCTCCATCTGGGAAATCCCTGCTCCAGTGCCTTCGGGTCACAGCTCACCCATCGTCATTCCCTGGTCAGAACCCAATTTTCTGCCACAGCAATGGTCGTGATCAGCCTGTTTACTTGTTCCTGTTTGCCTGCCAGCCAGACTGTACTCCATGAGGGCAAGGACTATTTCTGTCTCTCTTGTCCCTGTATTTCTAGAAGTTCACAGTTCCTGACATACAGTAGAGGGTGAGGAATAAGTGAATGTCCATGGCTACCAGACACACCTATGGGGTGCTGTAGTTCGTGGTGTAATTTTGGGGTCTTGCTTCCCTCCATGTTTGCTTAACCAACTCCTATGCATCCTGCAGGGCCCAGCTTAATTCAACCTCTTCTCTTCCCTGGGCCCTCAGCCGGCTGTGCTTTTCCTGTAGTATTACTTGGGTTTTAGACACGATATAGTGCAGTTAATCCAGTCATGACATGGGCACGTCCTCCCCGTGACTCTGTCATCCTATCTCAGAACTTCCTGGGTTCTGAGACAGTCTCCTGCACTATACTGTAGTCTCCAAGAGGACAGGGAGCTGGTTCGGCACAGTCAACCTGGAGTGCCCGGGACTCAGCATAGCAGGAGCGCAAGTGGGTTCATGAATGGCTGATCTGTGAGCATGCGCAGTTGTGTTACTACTAAGGTGGGGGCGGGGAGCGTGTATACACATGAACAAGCCGGCTCGGGTACTTGTACCTCCCTGCTGCCCTCCACAGCCTCCTTCCCTGCCCCCCGCCCCAGTAAGCCAGCCGCCCCCGCGATGTTACCCTTCTCCTTGGGCCTCAGGGGCCTGCCCATCTTGGGTAGCTCGGACTTGCACTGACCAGCGGCCCATGGGGTGGTCGCGCCCCATCCTGGCTCAGGCCCTGACCCCTCCTGGCTCAGCTCAACGTCACGAGGGCCCTTGGTCCAATCATTCAACAAGATGATGGGATGTGCCGGGGCAGAAGGAGAAAATTAACCCCAAAGAGGTTCAGGTGGAGCGGCGGCAGCTCTGCGTGCCAGAGAAGGCCTCGGTTGCTATGGTGATGAGGCCTTGGACCCACTTCCTAGTGGGGCGGCGCACGCGCAAGGCGCCGAGAGCCAGTGTGGAAGGGGGGTGGGGGGTCAGGCAGTGTCATCCTCCCTTCCCAGGATGCCTCGCGGCCCTCGCGTGATGACGTCACGGGAGGGCGTGCCCATATGTCATGACCGGATTAACCGCTCTACATAAAGCTATTGGCGGGCGCTTGGGCGCTGGAAGGTGCTTGGCTCTGACGCCGGCCCGCTCGCTGCCCTCAAGGGTACCGGGCGGCTAGGTGCCAGTGCTCGAGGGGCCCGGGGCGGAGGAGAGGTTGCCACCGTGACGCGGCCCACGGGACAGTGTCGCCGTCAGGTGCGGCGGCCGCGCAGGCGCAGACGGCCCCCCGGCGCCGCTTCCGGGTAGCTTTTCCCGGGATCGGTGGCACCTCGCATTTGGTGTCCTCGATCGGGGCCAGAGACCCGAAGCCGCGAGGGTGGCTTTCCCCGGACTGAAGGTCGCGCACCCCAGGAGAGGCGAAAAGGACCCGGATCGGAGCAGACCACCGACCCTTGCCCATGGCGGCCCTCGTAAGTACGAGGCTGGGTTCGGGGGTCCCTGCGGTGGCCTTTGCAGCCTTCACTCACTATCCCGCTTTCTTTCCCTGCAGGGCCCGGGCAGCCAGAATGTCACCGAGTATGTCGTTCGAGTTCCCAAGTAAGTCCCCAGCCTCACTTCCCACTACCCCCCTCCCCTCCCACCAAAGGGATTAAAACCTTCACGAGCCTCTAAGGCGTGCCCGGCACTGCCTGTGATTCCCCGTCCTGACGGCAGCGACCTGAGGGCAGGCCTGGGGTTGAGCTGAGGCCTTTTGGGGGCATCACTGTCTTTTGAGCGGAATGAATGACTGAGTACATGAGTATACATACAATAGATTGCAGTCTCTATCCTAGCGTTCTCTCTGCCAGGGGTGCCTTTTCCCCAACTGTGATTCTGCTGCGGGATTCTTGATCCCCAAAAATCCAGTTCCAGTATTTTCCTCCTCCAGGCAGCAGTCCCTGCTTGCCCTCAGTCCTGCCCAGGACTGAGTCTCTAATTATCCCCACATCTTGGGTTCTTCTAAATCTTTGTCTGCTCCTCTGCAGAGGGTTGACGGATCTGGCTTCCCTGACAGACTGGGAACCTCTGGGGTGTTTTATGGGTCCTCAGCATTGCTTGGCACAAAAGGCTGAACAATGGAGGTTTTTCTGAATGATCGATTGAGCACTGCCTCTTCCTGCCCATTCCAGAAATACAACCAAAAAATATAACATCATGGCCTTCAATGCAGCCGATAAAGTCAACTTCGCTACTTGGAATCAGGTAAGCCCCGCTTCTGAGGGGGTTGAGAACTTGATCCTGGACTCGGTGGTAGTAATAGTTGCTTAGTTGTAACAGTAACTAAGGCTTAGTTTCCTCCGTGCTCCCCCAGTGGAGAGAATTGATTAAGGCCCGGGCTGAGCTGCTGAGCATCTCTCTGAGTAGGATTCGTCAGGCCCTGCAGGAGGCCTTCTCCTGAAAGCAGAACATTTAGAAGTTGTGCCCACTTTGGAAGCTGTCCCAGTCCATTGGGGCTGCTCTAACGGAACACCGTAGATATTGGGGAGCTTATAAACAACAGGCATTTATTGCTCACAGTTCTGGAGGCTGAAGTCCAAGATCAAGGGGCTGTCAGATTTGATGTCCGGTGAGACCCGCTTTTTGGTTCACAGACCTAAGTCTTCTCCCTGTGTCCTCTCGGAAAGGGCAAGGGAAGTCTCTGGGGTCCTTTTTTATCAGGGCACTGATTCCAATCGCCGGGGCTCCACTCTCATGACCTCATCACCCCCAAAGGCCCTGCCCCCAGATACCATCCCAGTGGGGGTCAGGTTTTCAACATGTGTGTTTTGTGGGGAAGAGACATGTTCAGTCTATAGCAGAAGCCATTAAGGGTTTTCAGCTGACATGTAAAGGGCAGATGAAGGCAGGGTGAGAGCGACAGCTCTGGTCCTGGTGAGTGACGACGGGCTGGGAGCAAATAGGTGAGGAGACGCGACTGAATTACCGCGTGTTTTGGAAGTGGAGTCAGCAGGATTTGTTGATGGATGTGGAGGGGTGAGGGTCAGGGCAGAATTACAGATGTGCATTTTAAGGGAATGTGTACCACTGAATTGCCCAGAGATTGAAATTTGGCAAACTTCAGCCTTCAATGGCATCTGAAGTCATGGGAAAGTCCAGAACCAAAGGCGAGATAGAGAAGAGGGCCAGCTGCAAGCGAGTCATTTTCATCGCTTTTCCTGTTCGTTTTATCACAATGATCTTATTTTTTTTTAACTTTTCATTTGGAAATAATTGCAAACTTTCAAAAAACCACAAAAACAGGCATAGCACAAGGCTGGCCCGTATCCCTTCACTCTACGGCCCAGCTTGGGGACAGGAAAGGGTGTTCTTGGGATGGGGGCACAGCCTGAGCGAAGGCAGGTGCCCTGAGAAGAGGTTTTGCTTCCTGCCGCCCCTGCCGTGTCGCCTCAGGCTCGGCTGGAACGTGACCTGAGCAACAAGAAGATCTACCAAGAGGAGGAGATGCCTGAGTCAGGCGCCGGCAGCGAGTTCAACCGCAAGCTGCGGGAGGAGGCTCGGAGGAAGAAGTTTGGCATCGTCCTTAAGGAGTTCCGGGCCGAGGACCAGCCCTGGCTGCTCCGCGTCAATGGCAAGTCGGGCAGGAAGTAAGTGGTGATGGTGGCAAGTGCCCACCCACGTCCCCCTCATACCCTTACTCTGCTGGGTGCTGTGACTTCTGTGTCCCTTAGGCACAGCGGGGGTGCCAGAATGTCCTCCTTTGTGGAGTTTTATAAACGAACGGAGTTGGCGCTTGTGCAGGAGCGCCGAGGGCCAGGACGCAGGAAGCCTGGGCACCCGCCCCGGTTGTGCTGCCGGGGGCCACTTGGAAGCTGTAGGCGGGGGCGCTGTAAGGTTGGCTGGACTTTCAGGGAAGAGTGTGAGGGCAGAGGCCAGGAAGAGGCTGGCGCAGGTCCAGATGGGTCTGGCTCCGGGGCCTGCATCCTTCACGGCCGATCTCAGAGGTCCCTCCCCGGGGTGCCCCGGGTCCACTCTGCAGGGAGCTCACTGTGGCCCTGCTTTCCAGATTGTCAAAGGGCCGGCCCAAGGCCCTCAGCCTCTGATGGTACTTGGAGAGCCCAGGTGGCTTCGTAGAGGGGGCAGGCCCGGGGACGTGGGTGGGGCGGGGCTGTCCCTCTGGCCCGGCTATTCCCATGGCTCTCTGCAGGTTCAAGGGCGTAAAGAAGGGAGGTGTGACAGAGAACACATCCTACTACATCTTCACGCAGTGCCCCGACGGGGCCTTCGAGGCTTTCCCGGTGCACAACTGGTACAACTTCACGCCGCTGGCCCGGCACCGCACGCTCACGGCCGAGGAGGCCGAGGAGGAGTGGGAGAGGTGAGGCCCGCGCCCGGGACGGAGGCAGGGTGCCGACGCTGGCGTCTCCCAGCTTCCCCCAGGAGGGGCCAAAACAGTCGGAGCTGGGGGCTCAGTGGCGACCAAGCCAGACCCCACCAGGCCGTCAGGGAACTCCCCGGCAGGGGACACACAGGGCCCCGTGAGCACTAAGGGGGTGGGGACTGAGCTGAGCCCTGCAGCACGGATGGGCAGGGCCAGGCGGGGCTGGGCAGGGCCAGGCGGGGCGTCTCTGGGATCCCCAGGCAGGAGGTCCCGGCTGGACTAAAGGCAGATGTCTATTGCCTGAGGCTGGTCTTGAGCCCGAGAGGTGCTGGGATGCCAGCAGCACACTGAGACTTTTTCTTTGAGGGACTCGGGCCAGAGGGAGTGGAAGAAGGGTCAGCTCTCCCACGTGATTTCAGGGTGTCCGTGCCATGTGTGTGAGGCTCCTGGGGTCAGATCATCCCTCATATGATCTAAGTCGTGTCTGTGTGTGTCCCCTCTGGGCAGCACCCAGTCGGGTGCCAGGAAGAGGCCTGGCTCCTGCAGGATGGCTGTGGAGCCAGGCCTGTTGTCGGACCCCAACCCCTACCCACAGGAGGAACAAAGTCCTGAACCACTTCAGCATCATGCAGCAGCGGCGGCTCAAGGACCAGGACCAGGACGAGGAGGACGAGGAGAAGGAGAAGCGCGGCCGCAAGAAGGCCAGTGAGCTGCGCATCCACGACCTGGAGGACGACCTGGAGATGTCCTCTGATGACAGCGAGGCCAGTGGCGAGGAGGGTGAGCCCCGGCGGAGCGCCCCCTGGTGGCTGGGGTGGTTAGCACAGCCGCCTGAGTTGTGCCTGGGTCTTAATTTATAAAGGTAGCTGAGTGACAACACGAGGTTAACGCCATCAAAAGAAAAGTTTAGTTACAGTTTCCTGGGAAACGAGAGGCAGGCACAGCACGCCACACAGGGCCACTTGGGGAAGCACCAGAGTTGGCAGTAGCAGAAAGGCGTGACGGGAAGGACTCGGCTACGGCCTTTGCTGGGATTTCCGAGAGACAAGGCAGCGCACGGTGAATAATTCCAGTGGGCTCTGGGCTCCAGGGGTGATTTAGGGCAGGAGACCATGGCTCTGAGTGTAAGATAACGCCCTGTGTGGACCCAGGATTGGTTGGTTTGCATAAGAGATGCGCCTCTCGGCAAGCCCTTGGCCTTCTAAGAATTGGCTAGTCCTGGGTGCCTTCCCTGCATTGACAAGGTCTCCAAGATGTCTCAACATTATCGAGTTTACAAAACTCCACTTCCCCAGGTGGCAAAGCCCCCAAGGCCAAGAAGAAGGCGCCAGTGACCAAGACGGGCCGAAAAAAGAAGAAGAAGAAAGGTTCGGATGATGAGGCCTTCGAGGACAGTGATGACGGGGACTTCGAGGGCCAGGAGGTGGACTACATGTCTGATGGCTCCAGGTGAGGGGGGCAGGAGGCGAGTGTGAGACACAGGCTGGCCTGCCGGACACACTCACCTCTGCCCTCTCTGTCCTACAGCAGCTCCGAGGACGAGCTGGAGGGCAAGCCCAAGGTCACCCAGCAGGAGGAGGGACCGAAGGGTGTGGATGAGCGGAGCGAGAGCAGCGAGGAGAGCGAGGAGGAGAAGCCGCCCGAGGAGGAAAAGGAGGAGGAGGAGGAGAAGAAGGCGCCCACGCCGCAGGAAAAGAAGCGGAGGAGAGGTGGGCGCGGCGTCCGAGGCCCTGCCCTCTGCTCCCTCCCAGACCACCTTACCTGAGACAGAACCGAGGGTGGGCGCAGGGGTTTCCGAGCCCGACGCCCCTTCTCTGGTCCATACAGACAGCAGTGACGAGTCGGACAGCTCGGAGGAGAGTGACATCGACAGTGAGGCCTCCTCGGCCCTCTTCATGGCGGTAAGGCCCAGCCCCGTGGCAGGGGCGGGCAGTGGATGTGCTATCTGATTTCACTCACGTCTCTAATCCCGAAATTCAAAGAAAAAGAAGACGCCCCCCAAGAGGGAGCGGAAGCCGTCGGGCGGCAGCTCCCGGGGCAACAGCCGGCCGGGCACACCCAGCGCCGAGAGTGGCAGCACCTCCTCCACTCTGTGGGCGGCCGCCAGCAAGCTGGAGCAGGGTGAGTGGCCTTCCCGTCCCGCACCACGCGCCGTGGCCTCTTGACCTCCCCATTGAGCATCAGGGTCTGAGGCCGTTTGGGGGCACCTGTCTGCCCCTGAGCCCCCTGTACCTGTGGTCAAGGCATCACCCAGGCTGGGGTCCCCATCACGGGACCAGCCTTCCAGTCTAACCCTCGGCACTGCGTCCCCTCCTGCAGGGAAGCGGACGAACGAGACCACGGCGGCCAAGCGGCTGCGGCTGGACACCGGGCCGCAGAGCCTGTCCGGGAAGTCGACCCCTCAGCCCCAGTCTGGGAAGTCGACCCCCAGCAGTGGGTAAGTTGGCGAGGACGGCAGGGCTGGGGTGGGGGCCACCAGGAGGAAGGCCTCCCGCTCACCTCCTGCTATGTACTTGGCTCCTCAGTGACGTGCAGGTAACTGAGGATGCTGTGCGCCGCTACCTGACACGGAAGCCGATGACCACCAAGGACCTGCTGAAGAAGTTCCAGACTAAGAAGACGGGGCTGAGCAGCGAGCAGACGGTCAACGTGCTCGCTCAGATCCTCAAACGCCTCAACCCTGAGCGCAAGATGATCAACGACAAGATGCACTTCTCCCTCAAGGAGTGAGGGGCTGGCCCCCACCCTTCTGCCCAGCAAAGCTCTCGTCTCCAGAACTTCGTGGGCCTTTGAATTCCACACACTCACTGCCATGGGTCCCACTGCCTATCTGTCACCCTACTCCCTGAATCCCAGGACCCGGCATTAATAAGTCTAGAAAAACCTAATCAGCATTCTCCTCAATTTACTTTTCTTGTTCTCCCCGGCCCCGCCTCCTGGAACCCTGAGAGCCTCTTAGAATGCTGGGTGATTTCTTCAGGTCTGTCTTCCACTTCGCCAATTCTCTCTTAAGCTGTGGCTTATCTGCCACTAACCCATTAAGTACTTAGTTTCTTTTTCAGATCAACTGGTTTTTTGCCCGTTTTTGACCCCTTCTTTCACATTTTTATTTTAAGCGTCCTTGTCTTATATTCTTGGGCAGACACATCAGTACCTGAAGCTCGTGGGGATCCTGTCCTACCTTCTGACTCCCCATCATGATTGGGTCTCGTGTTTTGTAATCTCAGGCGGGGGACTGGTGGCCACCTTGGGGTTCTATCTGTGGGACTCCTGGGTAGTCTGCAGGCACGCCCCTCCAGATGGGTTTTGTTTTTGTTCCCGCCAGGAGTCCCGGCCTGAATCCATTTTGGGTGGTTCTTAGCTCTGTCCTATGTGGCGCCATTTTCGGCAAAAGCCGAAACCCCCTTTATTGCTGATGTGGCTTTTTCAGCTTTCCAGTGTTGTTTCTGGGGCTTCCCTTTTCTTATACGTTGGTTATCCATTTATTTTTTTTTTCCCTGCAGTGCTAGGCGTTCTTTAGTGGGAGGACTTTTCAAGTTCACAGACAGTAACATTGCTGGAAATGGAATTTTGAACACCCGTCCCAAGTGATCCAGCTCAGGGCAGGAAGTTGGCCTTCCATCTTGCCCAAGACTGGAAACTGCAGGTGGAAAATTCTTCCCCACCCAGTTCTACAGGCCCTTGGCCGACGAGTGGGCATGCCTGAGCTGTCAGGCTAATTCTTAGGAATGTCCCAGGTCGGTGCAACCTCCTTCTCCGTGCTTCCGCCAGGCCTTTTCAGGACAGCAGGAAAGAAGCCCTCCCCGCCTGCACTCACTGCCACGTAGACCACAGTCTGAGGCCTCCCCGCCAGGCCAGGTCATGTGGGACCTGGGTTCAAACCCTGCCTGTGTTTCTTAATTCTGGTGACTTTGGACAAGTGACTTTTTCCGTCTGAAAGTAGCCTCAGTAACCACTGCAACCATAACCACCACAGCAAAGTTACTGAAGCAATCCCCCTGGGCAGAGTTTTGCTCATTTAAGATCTTTTGCTGATACAGACAACAAGGCAGCGAGGAGCTCTGGATCATGTCCTCACTCCCCTGTGTAGGACGGGTTCTGAAGCAGGTCGCCAGGACCAAAGGGATGGGATTTAGGTTCCTTAGGAGACGGGCAGCTGCTGCCAGCTTACACTCCTGCCACAGCATGAGAGTGAACCTGTGTTGTCGCGTGTACCCCCGCCTTGTGAAAGCAAACTTCTTGATTTTTGTCAATCATGGATGCAGTCTCACCTGAGTTTTAGCTCGGTCTCACCTGTGTGAGGTCAAGCGTCTCTTCAAATATGCACAAGCTATTTGAATTTCTTTTGCCTCAAAAGCTTTTGCAAGCTCCTCAGGGCGAGGTACCATGCTGAACACTAAATGCACCTCTGTCCTCAGCATTTCACCTGGCTGCATTTCACAGGTGAGGGACGGAGGCTCACTTCCCGGAGGTCACGGGCTGGGTGTAGAAGTCATTGTGACCCACAGCTGCCTCTGTAACCCAGTGGGAGTCGACCTTCCCTCTCGTTCTGATGCTCTGGACACAAAGACAGGGCTGAGGTCTCAGGGAGCCTTCTAGAGACAGGAGTCCCAGCAGGGTGAGCTTGATGCCCCCTGGGTCTCAGCTCTTGGCTGTCCCTGGGCCACTCCTTTTTCCTGTTTTGACACTGGCTCAGCCAGGCCCGGAGATGGGCTTGACATCTTAATCCTCCAGGCAGGAGCCATGATGGAGGAGTCTCCATTAGCTAACCCTCCTGCCAACCCGCCTCCTTCCCGCACACACACCCACTCCGCCTGGCACCCAACATGGGGGCTCCTGAGCCTCAGCACCCTGCCTGCATGGGGAAGGCCCCCACTGGGGGACCCACAGAGACCCCCCCACCTCTCCTTCCAGACAGCAGGTCTGGTGGGGACCCCCGTTGCTTGCCCTGGGCTGGGCCCTGGCTGCCACCGTAACTCTCATAAATCAGGGGGCAGAGGGGGTGTCGGAAATGGGTCTGTGGAATGTCTGGACGAGGGGCGTGCCCTTAACTCTTAGAAGGACGAGATGCAGGGCAGTGGGAGCTGGCCTGCCTGGGTCTGAGGACACAGGAGATGAGCTGGTGGAGAACACGGGGTCCTTCGTGCCCGAGCAGTGGCTGGCAGCGAAGAGGTTATTACCCAGCCCAGATGGGGGATAAAGTGAGGGCACTGGGCATCCCCACCTTCAGGCCCTGCCGTCACAATGGCCCCAGGAAGAGTCCTGCTCTGCTCTCTGCTGCTCCTGTCGCTGCAGCCGGGCCTCGGCAGGGGCCCTGGTGCTCTTGGGTCTCTGTTGGTGGAGGGAGCATTCTCCGGGCCAGCTGCAGGTGAGAGGACCTGGAGGCCACAGCCAGGTAAGGACCCCCAGGACCCTGAGAGACTCCCAGACTCCTTCCTGGCCAGCCCCTGCCTGCCGTCAGCCACGCTTTACCCCTCCCAGGTGCCCGCCTGCGCCGAGCCCCGGCCGGCCCCTGCCAGTTGTGGAGCCTGTCCCTGCCGGTGGCGGAACTGGGCCTGGGCTACACTTCGGAGGAGACGGTCATCTTCCGCTACTGTGCTGGCAGCTGTCCCCGAGGTGCCCTCACCCAGCACGGCCTGACGCTAGCCCGGCTACGGGGCCAGGGCCGAGTGCATGGTGGCCCCTGCTGCCGGCCTACCCGCTATGCCGACGTGGTCTTCCTTGATGACCACCACCGCTGGCAGCGGCTGCCCCAGTTCTCGGCGGCTGCCTGCGGCTGTGGTGGCTGAGGGTTCCCAGCCTGGGGCCCTGCCGCCACACCAGGGGTCTGCTGACTTTAAATTTATTAGCGACTTAGATGCCAAGAGGATGAGAAGGGGGGTGGGCTGGGGCTGTGAGCAAAGAACACAATAAAGGAAATTGCTCCTGGGCCTCGTGACTCTGTGTTCGGTGGGGTGTACCCTGACCTTTGCTACCTTAGCTTTCGGTGGGTGGGCAGGCGGGGTCCCGGGCTTCTGCAGATCCCAGCCCAGGCAAACAGCCAGTGCAAGGAAAGCCGGCTTGTCCATTCTCCAACTTTATTCACAAACATGGGCTCTCTGAGAAGCTGGGGGAAGGGCTTGAGGTCAGCCAGCTGGGGGCAGCTGTTGGGGCTCCCCGGGGCCCATCCCCTCAGGGAGGGAGCGGCAGATCACAGAGATGCGTCGGCCCCGAGGAACTCGACGCTCCCCAAAAAAGGACTCTTCGTCTCGAAGGATCTCGTGGGAGAAGTCATAACGGGCTGAGTCTCTGCAACAGAAAACAGAAGCTGTGGCTGGGTGGGGTGAAGGCACCCCTGTTCCAGGCTGAGCATCTGCTGTGTGGGGGATGGTAGCGTTTGCTCTGAGAGCTGAGCGAAAGAAGGTGCTCAAAGTGTTGGGTGGGGGTCCGACCAGTGACTGGTAGGGTGGGGGCTCCTTGGCTGGGCAGTACCTGAGGATGTACAGAGAGCCTGGCTCCAGCAGGAGTTCCAGCCACTCCCCCGGCTTCTGGGTGTGTACTAGCCGCATGACGCTGGGTGACAGCAGGGACAGGCCGGCAATAGTGGCTCCGCAGAACTGAGGGAGCATGGCGGTGGGTCAGGCTCTGGCCTGGTCAGCCCGATCCCCTGCTGGGAGCTCCAAGGTGCTGGCCTCTGCCCACCTTGATGCTGTCCACGTGTGGTTTGATGTAGCCCCGAGGTTCCAGGTCCAGCACGTGCACCGAGGACAGCAGGGTCTGGCCTGGGCCAAAGGCAGCCGCCTGCATACGCTGCAGGATGGCCCGGCTGGCCTCTGACCAGCGCGATTTTTCTGTCTCTCGGAAGCCGTGGATGGCCTGTGTAGAGAGCTCACGTCAAGACTGGAAACTCCCGGGGGAGACAGAAAAACAGGCGCGGAGAAACGGTACAGAGCAAGGGTCCGGTTTCCCCAGCATACCCTTGAGCTCGCCCGCAGCTCACAAACTTGGTCCTATCTAATCCTGGGTCTCAAACCTCGACCCCTGCCGCATCTAGTCTGGCTTGTCCTTTGTATCCACCCAATTCTGTCTCACATTTCGCCCCAAGACTCAGTTCGGTGTCAGTCTCCGCCCTGTACCGGTGACCCTCCCTCATCTCGCTCCACACCCGTTTCTGCCTCCAACCCGGGTCCTGTCCGCCAAGCCGCCCCTCAGTTCCAGGTCCTGCTTTCAGTTATGGCCCTGCCCTCCTCTCCAAAGTGCTCTGCCTGCCGCCGGCGACCCCACGCCTCGAAGCTCCGCCCCCGCCCGCCGCGGCCCCGCCCACCCGGTCCTCGCTCCCGGCCCCGCCCTCTTCCAGCCGCATCCCCAAGCGCCGGCCTCACCGCGTCCCAGTGGTCGTACTCGTAGCGGCGGCGGCGCAGCTCGGGCTCCAGCTCACGGCTCAGTGTCTCCTCTTCGGCCGCGCTCAGGAAGCCGGGCCGCACCACAGCTGCGTCCCGCAGGCGGCTCAGCACGGCCGGGCCCGAGCCTCGCAGCCAGCCCGGCCCGGGCAAGGTCCGCAGCGCCAGCCGCCCGCTCCCGGCCATGGCTAGGGAGCCGCGGAGTGGAGCCGGCGGGGGGCGGGGCAACGCCCCCGCGCCGTGGCCATTGGCTGCGGCCGCGCCGAGTCCCTCCGGCGATTGGCTTCCTTCGGCGTCCCGCCTCTCGCTCAAGGCCGCCGTCGCCCTCGCAAGCTGTTGGCTTCTCGCAGAGCCCGCCTCCTCTGCCGCGCGATTGGGCACCATCCCTCGGGAGTTTAGACTATTGGCTGTCCCGCAAGTCCGTCCTCCTGGGCACTCAGGCAGGATCGGACCTGGGGTCGCTGATCAGGGGGTCGTAGAATTTGGGCCGAGACTGACGTTATGGAGCCGGCCAGGACTAGAGATTAAAGGTAGAGAGCACAGTCAGACTGAGATGAAGGGGCCGGAGGAGTGACGTCAAGGCCAAGTTTGCAGGGTTAGGGATTGTGGCCAAAGGTCAAAGTGAGGTGTCACCCATTTACCCGTCTGTATGGGCCTATTCCCATTCGCAGACAAACAGGCTGGTTTGCATCTTATAAACAAAACAAAAACGAAAAACGCTTCATGGTAGAATTGTCACATCACCATTTTGCAGCCCTCACTGGAATATTTAGCGGATCTGGACAAGGATTCTCATAGGCTCCTAACGTCAGGAAAAGAGGGACAACTGTGCCTCCTGATGGAAGTACATACCCCCAACCAAGAGGTCGCTTGCCAAAAGGTGGAACCTGAATCCAATCAGATATCTCTAGGTTTATACACCAAGTTACGGGAAACAGCAAGGACAGATGTTACCTACCTCCTTTCCTGCCCCGGTCATCAAAATCCAGACTGAACGTCCACAAGGCATTCATTTGTTTTTCTAACAAATGAATTTCAAGGAAAGAGACTAAAGAAAAAGAGAGCTATTGAGAGACTGAGAGATCTATCAACTAGTTGCAATGTATGCACTTTGTTTAGATCCTGATTTGAACAAACTAAAAAAATAAAGACAACAGGGGAAATTTGGACATGGGTTGAATATTTGACCATAGTAAGTATTGTAATTTTTTTTTTTTTAGTTTAAAATGGTATTGTGGCTTTAGAGATTCCTTGTCCTACTAGAAATACATACTTGAGATATTTACAGATGTAATGAAAATTGGGATTTGCTTTAACGTAATCTAGGGCCGCTGGGGGCCGGGGAGGGATGAATCAGTTGGCTGCAAACTGGTAATTGTTGAATTGGTGTGATGGGTACATGAGGCCTCATTGGCCTATATTTTCTATTTTTGTGTATATTTAAAATTGTCCAGAATGAAAAGTTCAGTCAAATGTAGCCAATGAAGATAGCCAAATTAAAGTCTAAATTTGAAGAAACAAAAAATTTTTTTGTTTCTTCAGTTCTCCCTCCACCCCACCCCCTTGTTCTCTGTTCTCCTTTACAGCAAAATTCCTCGAAAGACTTGTCTAGCTCCAATATTTTCTGGCATATTCTTTATGGGTCCACTCCAAACTGGTGTTTGACCCCCATGGCACCGAGACTGCTGTTTGCTGCTCGTGACTTCCACGATGCCAAATCCGATTCAGTTCTCAGCCTGATCACTAATTCGACAAGCTTGTCTCCAGCCCTGAACTAGACTTACCCATGCCCTGGGATGTCTGAGGCACATCCAGCAATGAACATAAGATGTCCCCAATCAGCTTCTGATTCTGGCCCCCAAACCTGCTCTTCCCCACAGCCTTCCCATTTCGGTTAAAGGCTCTCCGTCTTTCTAGCTGTTCTGGGCCATTCCCTTGGAGTTTATGAAGATTAAGTTCTCAAATCTCACATCCTGTCAGCCTTGCCTTTAAAACCGGGCTGGAATCTGACTTCTCACTGCCAGCCGGGCTGGCAGCCTTCGTCTGGACCGTCGGGTCTCCTGACTGGCTTCCAGGTTTCTGAGCTTGCTGCACTCCCCACTTCTCATCCTTCTTTTTGTTCCTTCTTGTCAAAATCCTCTGTGGTTCCCCCTCCCTCCTTGCTAAGACCTACCAGGCCTTTCGAGACCTGTACTCCTCCCCTTTGTCCTGTGATATCCACTCTCCACATCACTTACTCCACTCCAGCCTCGTGGTTCCTCCCAGGTGCCAGGCACAGTCCTGCCTCAGGGCCTTTGTGCTTCCTATGCCCTCTGCCTGGACTGCAGCCCCAAGACATCATGGCTTCCTCCCTCACCCACCTCCTTCAGGTCTTTGCTCAAGGCCTTCACTGGCCACCCCATCTAAAACTCACACACACAATGCATACTTCTTTCCCTGATTTTGTTTTCTAAACTGCCTGCCTCCACAAGAATAAATTCTTTGAGGACAGGGATATTTGTGTTTTCCTCACAATGTGTCGCAGCCTCTAGAACAGTGCCTGGAATGGTGAATGCGCTCAGTCGAGGATGCTAGAGTTAGGGAGGGCAGAGCCTTGGGGTCAGGCCAGAAGCAGGAGACTGGCGAAGTACATCACATATGCATGGTGGGGAGCAGGAAGGGCAGGCACCACAGGAGGGGGGCAAAGACTACAAAGATTTAATTTAAAATCACAGTGTCGCATCCAAGATACCCGCCCTTAGGGGCACCCCCAAATCCAGAGGTCCTCGAGGGCCCGTCCAGGCTCAGCAGTGAGCGGGGGAGGGGTTGCAGCCCCTGCACCTGACCCCTCACTTTCTTCCAGAAGGTGAGGAGCAGTCAGGTGCTCGCTGGGGCAGGTTCTGCTGTCGTTGCCGCCGTCACCACGGGCTCCTTCTGCACCAGCTCAGGCTCGTCCTCACCGTCCTGCGGTGGGTGCACCAGAACCTTGTCTAAGATGCCAAACTCCTGGGCCTCCATGGGGCTCATGTAGCGATCTCTCTCCATGGCCGACTCTGCGGGTGGGGATGGGGGTGCGGAGGGGAGACAGAGCAGAGACCTGGGCTGGGTTTGGGTCCCTTTCTGCCACTTCTTCCCTGTGTGACCCTGGCGGTCCCCCTTGTGCCTCAGTTTCCCCATTGCTAAAATTCCTATTTCGATTTTTATTTTTTCACTTGTTATCGATGGGCATGGATCATAAGTGAATAATGTGATGAATTTCCGCTGACCACACGCACATGGCCAGCGCCCAGATCAAGAAATGGGACACTGCCAGACCCCGCTAAGACACATTTCCTGTCACTAACTCCTCCTGCCCGAGAGGAACCACTCTCCTAACAGTGGCCTACCGGCACTGATTAGTGGTGCCTGTTTGTCCTTGACCCACGTCGCGTCACAGCGCTACCGTCTTTTCCACTGAGCAGCAGGCTTCTGAGTTTCGCCCGGGGCTGTCGCTGGGCCGTTCCCTCATCCCACTGTGCGAGCGAGCCCCCAGTGACGCGCGCACTCCGTCGCCGTGGACGCCTGCGAGTTTTCCCGTTTTCTCGCTTGGCGCCTGCATGAACAGGACTGCGTTCCCAGTGGACGTGAGCGCTCAGTCCTCTGTTCCGAGCAGAGGAACCCCGCATCTTTCCGCAGGTTTGGCCTCAGCCGGCAGTGGCCGACAGCGGAGGTGGGGGGCTGCAGGCCAGGGCCTCGGTGGCTACGCAGTTTCACTCCGGCCAGCGCGGTCAGCATTCCCGCTGCCCCGCGTCCTCTCGGCCTTAGTCCGGTCGGTATCTCCTGTATTAGCCGTTCTGGTGGACTGAAGCGGTATCTCACTGTGGCTTTAATTTGCCTCTCCCTCATAACTCATGATGTCATGATTAGATAGCATCACTGAAGATGGTGAGCATCTTTTCTTGTGTTTCTTGGCCACTTGGAAAGTTTTGTTGAAGACCCTGCTCACATCTTTTGACCTATCTCAACGAAGTTTTTGTGAAGATTCTGTAAATTGATCTTTTTAAACTGCTTACAACAGGGGTTCTCAACTGGGAGGGAGTCTATGCCACAGAGGACACTGGGCAATGTCTGGCGACTGTTTTGGCTGTTGTAATTGGAGGGTGCTGGCATCGAGTGAGTGGCAGCCAGGGATGCTGCTTAGCACCCTACAAGGTACGGGATGGCCCGGAGTGTCAACAGTGCCGAGGTAGCGAGGCCTGGCTTAGCATAAGGCCTGACTCTTATGTCTGTGTTGGTTCAAATAAAGGGGAGCAGCTGGGGATCGCCTGGGGCAGGGGCACACTCACCGATCACCTGCAGGCTCTGCTTGGTGTGTTTGGCATAGATGCTGTAGAGCTGCTTCTTGAGTTTCATGATCTCTTCTGCCTGAATGGCGATGTCTGTGGCTTGGCCCTGGGGGACGTCCCAAGAGGGAGAAGGTTGGAACCATGTCAGCCACTAACGGGGGGCGGGGGGGGGGTGGCGCTGGAGATGGGTCTCGAGAGCCCCCTCTGGACTTCAGACTGCCAGTGTCCAGGCAGGTGGGACAGGGCTGTGCGAGTCCCTCTACATCTTGCTTCGTCCTCACCACCACCAGGAAGGCTTCCTGGATTAAATATATTTTCTTATTTTCTGTATCTGGGCCTCACTGACCCAGATAAATGGTCCCTCTCAGGGCTAGCTAATTCCTAGAGATAGCACGCAGCTCACCCATGAGCACACCAGCCAGCCCAAAGCCCACACTGCTACCACCTCCTCGAGGGACTCTGGGCCACTGTCCCCACTGTCCCCCTGCCCATCGCCCAGGGCCAGGTGTCAGACAACTGGGCGCAGCTCTCACACCCAGAGCTCAGTGCGATTATTCAAATTAGACAACCTGAAGCCTTTTGCATTTTGACTGGCTAGTTTTTTTCCCCACAGAAACTACAAGAAAGGCTCTTGCCACATTTTCCCCCTGCTCCCTCTGCCTCTTGAGCAGCCCTGGAGCTTTCCCGTGTGGCCCTGCCATGGCCTGGCTGCCCCCTCTTCTTGGAAACTGTGAGTGACAAACTATCTTTTCAGTGGTGAGTGTCATCTGTTGACCTCACTACACCTGCATAATAAACCCTACACTTTAGAACACTAACACCCCCCCAACTCCTGCCCAGTCAGTCCTGTCTAGGCCCCCATGCCTCATCCCCGAAGCACGTCCCAGGGCCTGGCACTCACCCGGGCACCCCCGGACGGCTGGTGGATCATGATGCGTGAGTTGGGGAGCGAGTGGCGCATGCCTGGGGTGCCAGCAGCGAGAAGCAGGGAGCCCATGCTGGCGGCCTGGCCCACGCACCACGTGCAAATGGGGTTCAGGATGTACTGCATTGTGTCGTAGATGGCCAGGCCCGAGGTCACCATGCCACCTGTGGGCAGAGGCATGAGTGAGGGGCTGGGCCAGCTCTCCTACCATCCTTTCCCTATTGCGGCCCTTTAAAGCAGGGATCTGCAAACACCTCCGGGGGTTGGGAGGTGACAGAAACAGGTGACACAGGTGGGGGGTGGGGGGGTGGGCAAAATTAAAGTGCTTGCTCCAGAGTGAGCTGACTGTTGCCACACGTGTACGTGGGCCCAGCGGGACCACACCTGTCAAATTTTCAAGAGATACTAGAAAGCATGAGATATGGCGGCTAAGGTGAAGCCTGGAGGCAGCAGCCTGCCTGAGTCTGAACCCCAGCCAGGCGGCTTATCATCTGTGTGGCCTTGGACAAGTTACCCGGCCTCTCGGAGCTACATGTCTCCTTGTGGACTGTGGTAACTAAATAGTACCTACCAGGTGAGGTTGCAGTGAGGCCCAAATCAATGAAATGTGTATAAAGTGCTTAGAAAAGCATTTGACACAGTAAGCACTTGATCAGGACTGGCTATTGTTTGGGGGCGGGGGGCGTGTGGAGATGGAATCTACCAATTTGAAGATGTCGATAACTCGATCAGGTTGTGTGTGTGACTGAAGAGGCAAGTTCAGCAGAAGGGTTGTGAACCTGGGCTTAAAGCAAGGAATAGGCAGTTTTTGGAGGGTTCAAGACATTGTTGGGATTCTGAAGGAAGCTCCGGACCGTTTCTCCAGAGAGAGAACATCCTTGATGGGGTGGCGTGGGGGTGGGAGTCTCGGTCCTTGAGTCACTCAGTGCCTCCAAGGGGAGCCCCTCACGCTCAGGGAGGCCCGCTCCCCGCTCACCAGGGCTGTTGATGTACATGTGGATGGGCTTCTTGTTGCTTTCGGACTGCAGGAACAGCAGCTGTGCGATAACCAGGCTGGCCACGCCATCATCGATCTGCAAGTGGCGGAGGGCAGAGTAGGGAATGTTTTCAGATGCGAGGTGGGGAGAGGGCCAAGGAGGCCATTATGGGGTGGCTGCGGATGAGTCAGGGAACCAGGATGGCGGTCAGAGCCCAAGTAAGACGAGTCGAGAAGAATTCGGGATCCAGGAGATGTTTGGCGCACAGGAAGGGGTACTTGGTGGGCTTAGGGCACGGGAAGGGAAGGGGTCTGGGGGGTCGGGGAGACGGACTGGAGCCCAGGAATGGGAGGAGATCATAAATCAGGGAGAGAGTCAGATCAGGAAGGGAGAAGAGGGTTTGAAGGAGGGTACTGGGGACCAGGAGGGGGGTCAGAAGCTTATATGCCCAGTAAGGGGACCAGGAGGGGGACCAGGAGGGGGGTCAGAAGCTTATATGCCCAGTAAGGGGAGTGTCAGGTTGGGACTAGAGCGGAGCCTAGGGACGAAAGTCAAGCGGGAGAGATCACGGGGCCGAGGGAGTTCGAGGAGGAGGGGCGCATGGGGTCCAGGCAGGCGCAGGGAAGGATGGGGGCGCAGGGCGCTTACCGGACCCATGACACACACGATGCGTTCCCGCAGCAGCCGCGAGTAGATGTCATAGGCGCGCTCGCCGCGACCCTGGGGGAGAAAAATGTGAGTGAAGATCAGGGGCCGGCGGTGCCCCCAGCCCAGAGCCCTCGAGCCGTGTCCCGGGACGGCCGCCGTACCGTCTGCTCCACCACGATGGGAATGAGCGGGATGGCGCGGGCCGCCGTAGCGTGCAGGCTCCGCTGCAGGACCAGGCCAGTCTTGGGCGTCCGCTGAGGGGAAAGGCGGGAGGCGAGGCGAGGTCCCAACGCGGGGCACCTGCCTGTCGCCACCCGGGTCCCCCCGACCAATATTCCGGGCCACATCCCGCTGCTCGTCCGCCCGGCTTCCGTCCGATGACGGAACTACAACTCCCGGCGTGCTTTGCACCCACGGCGCGTGTGCACCAGCCCGCCCACTTCCGGGAAGCTGGGCGGGCACGTTCAGGGACGGGCGCGGAGTCGGGGAGGAAGGGGCGGAGCCGGGAGGAAGGGGCGGAGCCGGGAGGAAGGGGCGGAGCCGGGAGGAAGGGGCGGAGCCGGGAGGAAGGGGCGGAGCCGGGAGGAAGGGGCGGAGCCGGGAGGAAGGGGCGGAGCCGGGAGGAAGGGGCGGAGCCGGGAGGAAGGGGCGGAGCCGGGAGGAAGGGGCGGAGCCGGGAGGAAGGGGCGGAGCCGGGAGGAAGGGGCGGAGCCGGGAGGAAGGGGCGGAGCCGGGAGGAAGGGGCGGAGCCGGGAGGAAGGGGCGGAGCCGGGAGGAAGGGGCGGAGCCGGGAGGAAGGGGCGCGCGGGCGGAGCTGGTCCGCCCTTGGAGTCTCTCTTGAGTCGAGTCCCTTTTCCGACGAATTCGTCATAATTTAACGCTCTTCGTTACCTATTTGAAAAAACAGCGTCGTTGTGCTCACTGGGCCCCGGCCTCAGAGAGCTTCCGACTCCTACCGAGACCTTCCCGTTCGTCTGTGGTCACGTGTGGGATACCGGGCCGTGGGAACCCAAGCGTGGGCCCTAGCGCTGACCGACTGTGTGCTCTTAGATCCATTGCTTAACCCTTCGGGGTCTGAAGTTTCTCATCTGGAGACGGCAGTGGTTAAACCAGTCTCACAGGGCTGGATTTAAGGATACCTGTTGCAATCTTGGCTCCACTACTTAACTGGTTGTGTGTCCTTGAGCCTCAGTTTCCCATCTGTAAAATGAGGATTATGACAGTAACCTAGTTCTAGGGTCGTTGTGCCTGAGGTCCTCAAAATGAGGCCTGGAACGCAGTAAGAGCTGTTTGTCTTAGCTGTTGACGTGCGTTAGTTATTGATGTAGTAGATCAGGAACCACAGGGTTCCAAGAAGTCCTCCCAAACGAAGGTTCATTCGAAGTGGGTTTCCATGCAAAAGCAGGAGTTCACAGGCAGACGGTGACTGGTGCTGGACTCTAAACGCCATGCTGGGTGCCCTAGATAAGGATAGTTTTGTGCCCTCCATGCCTCCATCCCAGTGTGGTGGGGAGATAAAACAGGACAGACACTTCCCACCTTACGGACTCTGGGGCAAAACCGAAGGAAGGACATGGAAGTGGAAGAGTTTGTCTGCACTGCTGGCAGAAGGCCCAGATCTAGGCCTCGCTGGTGGGGGTCGGCGGGTGGGGGTAGCTGGCATTTGGGCAGTGGGAGTGGTGTTTCCCCAGCGAAGACTGAGGAGGTGGTGGGCAGCTTGGGTGGCCTAGTTTCTGCTGTGAGTCAGGTGGGCGGCCCTGCCCAGCCCATTCCCTTAGGGCCTGAGCTCTGACCCTGACCTGGGAAGAAGGCCCATCAGTTGTCACCACCCCTGCATCCCTCCCCTCAACACTTCTCCACACTCCCTGCCCTCTCTACCTCCTCAAAGATGCCCAGTTCCAACCTGCCTCCTAACCTTTGCCGTGTCCTCTTCCTGAATCTCCACTCAAATGTCGCCTCCTTAGAAAAGACTTTCCTCATCTCCCTGACTATTCCAGACATGCTCTGGAGCATTTGCCTTGCTTTGTTGGCTGAAACAATTCCATCGATTCATTTGTTTCCTCTTCATTGTCTGTAGAGGCGACCTCCGTGAGGTCAGAGGCTCTGTGGTCTTATTCGGCTCTGTGGCCCTGGGAACACTGTTTATCAAAACTTTTTGATTAGGACTCAAGGGGAAATACCATTTTATAAAATGGTATTTATCTTTACTATGAGTAATGTCTTCTGATAGTTTCTATTGTATTTTATTCCATTTCGTTCTTATCAGAGTTTCTAGATCTGGGCCCTGTTGACATTCTGCGCTGAATAATTCCTCGTGGGATCGGGGGAGGCTGTCCTGTGTGTCGTAGGCTGTTGAGTGACATCCCTGGTCTCCACCCACTGGACGCCAATAGCATTCCTCCCTCCGTGACAACAACCAGAAACGCCTCGGACTCTGCCAGCTGTCCCCCCAGATGGCAGAATCGCTCCCAGTTGAAGATCACCGACTTAAAGTAGGTAGTGACTTGAAAATGGGAAATAAAAAGTAACTTCTGAACAGTGCCTGGCCCACTGTAGGCACTCCACTAATATTTAATGTTTATTCCTCCAAACTTTGCTTGGGAGATTCTGAATGAATGAATGAATGAATGAATGATTGAAAAGATATGTCTCGGCTCTTGGCTGCAAATCAGCCCATCCTGCCAGCTTTCGGTTATCACGCCACGATCAGAGAGGAGAGGAGAGGAGCTCTGATCAGCGTTCCCTTTCCTAAGATGAGTGTCAAACAGGCCTATGGAATTGATAGGAACTGAAAGTCACAAAAAAGATGTGGGAACGCAGAGGCCTGAAGAGGCCGTGGGTAAGTAGATACTCCCATAGACGGCTCACGTTGCTACGACTTCTCTGGAAACTAAGTTGACACCAAACTTCAAATTTACATAGTCCATTTCTAGTTACTCATTTTAGGAAATGCTCAAAGGTGAGCCCCAAGATATGGCCACCCAACTGTTTATGGCAGAACTGTTTAAAAATCTGTTGTTTTGGGTAGTTATTGCTATGTCACAAAGCGCCCCTACACTTAGGGGCTTATTATTTCCCAGAATTCTGGCCTGGCCTCAGCAGAGTGACTGTTTTCCACGTGGAGTTGCTGGGGCAGGAGCAGCCACGACGCACACTCCTCAGGAGCATGTCCCGAGCCTCGGCTGGGCTGATGGGGCTTTCTCTCTGTGTGTGGCGGTCTTTACTTCTCACATGGAAACTAACTTCCCAGAGAGAGGAAGCAGGAGCTACCTGTCTTCTTAAAACCTTGTGGCCTGCGAGTCACACGGCCAAACCCAAGTTTAAGCGGAGGGAGAGGGGAGTTAGAGTCTTGGTGTGACGAGTGGCGGGGGCACATGATAGAAGGCGTCGATGGTGGCTGTCTTTAGAGACAATCTCCCACACTCACACTAGCAAAATATTAGAAATAAATGTCCGGTAAAAGGAAAAGGAGACGAATGAAGTCAGTCTCTGTGGAATGTAACCGATGTTTATCGAGTGCCTACTCTGGTCCAGGGTCTGTTCGTTCGGTATGACTCTGAGAGAGGGAAGCCCCAAAGTACCAGTGTCTGAGATAAGGTAGAAGGGCCTTTCTCGCTAAGTAACAGTCTGGAGCTTGGCATCCAGGGTGAGCAGAGAGGCTCTGTACCAGGAATTCTCCGGAGACCTCTCCTTTCTGTTCCTACCTCAGCCATCCCTAGGGTAGAGCCCTACTGGTCTGAAAAATCCAAAGTAGAGCTGGCACATTCCAATCCCAAAAACTGGAGAAAGGAAGAGAACAGGCAAAGGGTGCCTGCCGGCTCGTCTTGAAGGAAGGCTGCCACCTCCACCTCCGCTTCCATCCTGCTGGCCAGAACTTAGTCACACGGCCACACTTTATTGTAAAGGAGGCTGGAAAGTTTGTTTGTTCACGCAAGTGATGTTTCCCGAGTACAACACCAGGATACGTCAGGACCGAAACAAAGCAAACGAGCGAGTACGAAGAAAAACAGATAAAAATCTCGGCCTTTATGGAGTTTACCTGCCGTCCCCATGTCCCTCTTCGAGGAGGGACTTGCCACCCAGATGAGGGAAGTATGGTCAGCAGGAGCCTTCGGCTTCCACCTTTAGGGTCAGTTTCAGTTCAGAGAGCTACCATGCTCAAAGTCCCAGGCAGCCCCTAGCCAGTGCCTAGGCAGAGGAATAGCGTCCGGCATTTCTGACTTGACAGGTGACACCGATGTCAGTATTCACTGCAGTCCCCCACCAGTTGACCAGGCTTTGTCCAGCCTGAATCACAGTTCGACTTCAGAGTTCTCTTTGCCCACGCTTTCTTCCTCTCACCGTGTCAATCTTCAATAAACATCATGCACCCAAAGTTGCATCTCACTGTCTGCTTCTGGAGAACCCAACCTGTGACAAAAAAAGGTCACCATTCTTTTTTATAGCTGTGTAGCATCCATTAGACAGAAGACCCATCATTTATATAGGCCATCCTTTGTTGATGGATGTCTTTATTGTGATGAAAGATTTTTTTTCTCTTGTCAGATTTGACTTCTATTTTTTAATTTTTTTCCAGTCGGGGCTAGAGTTTATTTCTGCCAGAGCTGGAGGCTGGGAGGGCCGGGGAGACTCCTCCAGCCCCATAGGGACGCCAACCAAACTGTGATCACACAAGAGCAGATTTGTCTTTTAAAGGGACTCCTGTGCCTTGGAGAGCCCTGGGCTCAGTCCTTGGTCTCCTTTATCCACACCCCCTCGGTAATCTCATCTGGTCTGCTGGCTTTACATACCTGTGTGCCTGGGTGCCGCCCAGGTTTATCTCTCTCATCCAGGTATGTCAACCCCAGACCTCCCTCCCTCACGTCTCCCCTCGGATGTCTAATTAGGCACCTCAAAATGAACATGTTCGAAATAAATCGGTGATCCTATCCCCCAGCCTGTGCATCCGTCCTCCATCCTCCCACTTGCTCATACTGAACAACGTGGAGTCATCCTTGATTTCTCGCTTTTCATAGAACCTGAAATCCAAACTTTTGGATAATCCGGTTGACTCAGCCTTCCAAGTTAACTCAGACCTCAGCCCCTTTTCACCAGTCCGTGATGCCTCCCTGACTTGAGCCACCATCTCTCGTCTGGGCAATTGCAGTCACCTCCGCCCATCTGTCCCTGCTTCCACCCCTGCTGCTATATTCTCGCAGCAGCCAGAGGAATTCTTTTAAAACTTAACCGAGTCCATGTTATTCTTCTTAGAACCGTCCTGTGACTCCCTGCCACACTCGCCTCAAGTCCTAATAACAGTCTGCAATGCTATAAACAGTCTGATAGGATGCCCCCTCTTGCCCCGTGGTGGTTGGACTTTACCTCCTCCCACTCTGTCCCTCGCTCACTCCGCTGAGGCCACTCTGGCCTCCTTGCTGTTCCGCTCACTCATCGGTCACACGCCGGCCTCAGGACCTTTGCACTGGCTTTCTCCTCTGCCCGGAATGCTCGTCCCTCAGATGCCCACACGGCTCCCTCCTCGCCTTCATTATGGCCATACTCATTATCATCTTCTGACACCCCTGTTTAAAACCACAGCCCCCACTGTTTCCCTGCTTTATTTTTCTCTATAAAACATCGGCACCGCGCCTCCCTACTCAGAATACGCTTTACAGACCAGCAGCATTAGCATCACCTGGCATCTCGTTAATAACACAGACTCTTAGGCTCCACCCAGATGTGCCGAATCAGAATTTGCAGGCGCGCAAGATCCCCAGGTGATCCGTATGCACACTGCAGTTCGAGAAGCACTCCCGTATTATATACTCACTGCTTATTTGTCTGTCGTCTGTCTCCTCTACTGAAGAGGAAGCTCACTAGAGCAAGACCTTTTCTCTACTTTTTCACTCCTATACTTTAGCACCTAGAACAGCGTTCAGCACATTGTAGGCGCTCAGTAAACACTGAATCCGTGAAGGAATGGCTGATGGATGGATGACGGGCGTGCCAGGCAATGGCGGAGGCAGAGTGTGACGATCAGGGTTTTGGTTGAAAGCAACAAAAATTGTCTTAAGCCAAAAGAGAACCTTGTAGACACTAGAGGTTCTCCAGCTTGGGTGGGGGCTGGAAGACCCGCCTTGGAAAAAATAGGCAAAACGTTCTAGAGACTGCGCATTAGGGACAATTTGGCACCTCTGGACAGCACTGCCACCATGCTGGACACCGCTACAGACGATGAAGTCCCCACCCCCAAAAGAAATGGTTTGGATTTTGAAAAGCCAAAAATGATGACAACCAAAAATATGGCCAGTATTGTCTGCAAAGGGGAACCAGCGACAGAGCAGGCATAGCCATATGGAGGAGAAATGTGGGGGCAGCTAGCGTGAGGGGCCACGTAGGGGGGGAGTTGGGTTTGTGAAACGTTCAGAAGGTAGAACACAGGGTTTTCAGACTGCGGGACAAATTCTTCTCCAAAGTCATGCTTCTCCTTTGTAGCAGTTATTGTCACCTAACAAATCACCCCATAATTTAGTGGCTTAAGACTATAACATTAAATATTAACAATAACAATACATTATCATCTCATACAGTTTCTGTGGGTCTGGGGTCCAGGGGCAGCTTAGGCTAGGTGTTCTGACTTAGGGTCTTTCATAAAGTTGGAGTCAAAATGTCAGCCAGGGCTGGCATCCCGTCTAAAGGCTTAACGTGAGTTGAAGGGTGCGCTTCTAAGACGGCTCGTTCGCGTGCCTGGCAGGTTGGAGGCTGGGCAGGTTGGAGGCTCGCTGTCATCAGGAGGCTTCAGCTCTTCTCCGCATGGACCTCTGGATTAATCGTGTGTCCTCACAACATGGCAGCCAGCTCGTCCCTACGGCAAGTGATTCAAGATGGCAGAGCGGAAGCGGTAATGTCTTATACGACCCAGCTTTGGAAGTCACATGCTGTCACTTCCACACTATCCCAGTGGTCACGTGATTCAGTGTGGGACAGGGGACTACACAGGGGCTGAGCACCAAGCGAGGCCATCTTGGAGGGTGGTCACCACGCCCTTCCACCGAAGGACCACACTTCCCAGCGCCACTTGCATCTGGCGAGCCATGTGATGAGTTTTCACCAGCGGAAATGATGTGCGACCCCTCCAAACCACGGGGTTGGGAAGCCAGTGCGACTTTCCACTCCCTGCTTCCACCGCCTCTGGCAGCTGAATGCGTGGTAAAGACGGTGGAATCGTAGAAGATGCCTGGGAAGGGAGTCACCTGCCAATTAGGACACTCATTTTGGATTTTAGTGAGCAGCAAAATTCCATCGTGTTTGAGTCATCAAATATTTTGGGGTTTGTTCATTGCGGCGCCTGGTATTATCTAATTAATTCAGGAATGGACTGAATATGGGGGGTGATGCAGAATGTGAAGATTTCTGGCTGGAGCCATTGGGTGCATGGAGGTGTCTTTTACCAAGATGGGAACATAGGTTTGGGCAGAAGATGCTGAATGACTTTAGGGCAGGGTTTCTCAACCTTGGCACCACGGATATTTGGGGTTGCATAGTTCTTTGTTGTGGGGGGGCTGTCCTGTGCATTGTAGGGTGTTGAGCA